AGAGCCCCACAGTCTACTTTTAGAATCGTGCTCTTGGTTTTTATGAAGTTATCTTGCTCTCATAAAACAAGCAAATCTGCCTATTTCTAGTCCGAAGTAGTCGATAATCTCTATAGATCTGTAGAGGTCGACCTGTCATAGGCTGAACCCAAGCAATCCCCTATCATTCCGGACTAGATAGTAGTTCCTTTTTAACCTCAATCATAGTATTATCCACATCGAAGGCTAGAGCCCAGACTGCTAATTTAGTCTCGAAACCCTGGCAACGCCGGGAAAAGATAGTGAAATGAGGAAATTTGCACTTCAGTTAGTTATCCCTCTCTCATAGCACAAATAACCAGAACCTGATCTCCCAAATCAAATACCCTCCAAACCGAATCTAGATCATCCGGCAGCAAAATCAAAACCTATCTACTCAAGTTAAATATTGGGGGGATAAGTACGAGTCTTCAATTACTTGAAAAATTTCACAAACCAAATGGGACTCGATATCTTGACATTCAAAGCCCTGTGGAACTAGGTTAGGATTTATTACAGAGGTATCGCACAATGTCCTGACCTTAGTGGTAGAAATTCAGTATTTTTTAGACGATTCTACAACGAGCTCCCAAGAACAGTTCTGAAACTCCCGCCTACTATAGTCCATAGACGCCGTGGCACTAGCATAATGGCGTAAACCAAGGAATCGAATTCTAGCTTACACCATTCTTCCACTCTCTCACGACAACTGAAGTCCCTTTTTGAAGTTTGACAGAAGGAAATCTCAAACAAGCTCCAGTCAACTCGTTGGGGCTTACTTCCTACCTTGAACCTATTCTTGCACCGCTTATCAATGATCAAGAACGAGAAGGAAAGTCATTTTTCTTATATACTTGTATAAGTTTTGGTTGCTCACGATAGGATATATCTACTATTCAGTCCATTAGTCCGAAAAAAGGCCAACATAGTCTAGTCTATATCGCTCAGAAAAGAGGTGATGACATACTATTGATAGTAGTGAACGCTCGGTTTACCCAGTTATCTACAACGTGAGAACCTACAGTACACAAGCTAGTCCGAACTCTCGAGATATTATTACTTCATGAGACTGGACACTCACAAAAAGACAACCAAGATCCGATGTACAATTCTCAAGACAAGTCTTTTCAGATGTCTTCTGTTCACAGAGATTTTGCCCCCCTTCTCAGTTTCGTGAATAAGACGGCAAAAACAAGCGGAAAAAGGCTTCATTTGTGAATAGAACTTTCTATGTATATCCTTGGAATTTGAGATGCTTAACTAAATAACCGGAGCTTCATCACAAAGAACTTTCAAGAGCAAAATTGGAGTTCGGACAGCACTGGCCCTGACGTTCTACTCCGCTATCTCTTATCGGAGTGGGGGTCTGTTTTGGTCTCAAGTTCCCTCTTGACAAGCTCCCTCTCTTATTCAGTTTCCCCTGATCAAGATCATTTGAAGACCTCTTGCTTTTTTCATACTCTCAATCCCAACTATATATCAACATGGCGGACTTGGAGACCAAACAAGCTGTTGTCTGTGTATTGTGAGTCATACCCTCACCACCACCAGGGCACTTTCCAGGTTACAACTACACCATCTTGCCTATCCGGCGCATGAGACCTCAGGATCTATCTATACCACCTTCCTCTTCGTTCCTGGAAACGTTAAACTAACAAACCCCCCCTCGGGTCCCCAGCTGCGGCTCCGTCCCAGGCAATAGCCCAGTCCATAAGGAAGCAGCCCGAGCTCTAGCCGAGGAATTCCACAAGCACAATGTGAAACTAGTCTACGGTGGCGGCACAACCGGGCTCATGGGTGAAGTCGCACGCGCGCTGGTCTCACTCTCAGGTCCAAAAGCCGTGCACGGCATCATTCCTCGCGCACTGGTCAAAGTCGCAACCGTCAGCGGCATGCGCGAGCACACGGAGGGCCAGGCCAGTGCCAAAGATGGCAAAATGGCCGAGCGTGTTGTCGACTCCTTTGATGCCGTTGATGCCAATGGCATCCCCGAGTCGGAGTACGGCCTTACGACCATTGTCTCCGATATGCATACGCGCAAGCGTCTGATGGCGGAGAAGGTCCTTGAGGGTGGGCCTGGGTCCGGGTTTGTCTCACTGGCTGGTGGATTTGGAACTATCGAGGAGGTTATGGAGATGACGACGTGGAATCAGCTGGGAATTCATAAGGTGGCCGTTGTGTTGTTGAATATCAATGGGTATTGGGATGGACTGCTGGCTTGGGTACGCAATGCTGTGAAGGAAGGGTATATTAGTGCTAGCAATGGGGAGATTCTTGCGGAGGCTAAGGAGGTTTCGGAGGTCTGGCCCAAGTTGCTGGCTTATCAGGTCAGTGATGGGCGGATGCAGTTGAACTGGGGAGAGGAGTGAAGCTGCTCTGTTTGATCCAAAAAATGGGGGTACCAGTATATAGATGCCATTGCGTTTGATTCAGGTTTGTTTGCGGTCTGTTCGGGTGTCGGCAGTGGAAAATTTCAGGCTTGTAAACATACACAGGTAGATTGCTTCGTTAGAAGAGCCTCATGAATTGACGATTGAATAACTGAGATCATTGGATCCAAACACAAGACAAAGCATAATCAGAATTTCATGTCTATGCGAATCATTAAATCAGATTAGACAATTATGAATCAACCTCCATGGTCTCGCCCTCCGCACCAGCAGACTCACGCTGCTCCAGCACCTCAAGCAACGCAGCCGTATCCTGGCCCTCGTACAGCTTGAAGTTCTCCTTCTTGCCATTAGTAACACCGACAACACCAACAGAAGTATTGTCCACCGTAAGCTCCTTATCTTGAGACAGTGTCTCCTTTAGCGCGCTCAATCCATGCTGAATCAGCTCGTCACGACTGCAGTCCTCGAACTTATCGAGGTTTCGCTCCAAATACGTGCGTGCCATCTGTGAACGGGCACCGATGGCGCAAGCAACCATCTCGTGTGTCAGACCGGAGGGTTGGAACTCGAACAGGTGCGGGCCGGCCTCATCAACACCGGCAACCAACAAACCCACGCCGTACGGCCGTTTCCCGTAGTGCTGGGTGTTGGTCTGCGCGCGGTCTCCGATCTGGGCAACAATTCGGTCCACGGGGATGGGCCGGCCGTAGGTCATCTTCGAGCCGAGGGACTGCTGCTTCATGAAGTTTGAAAGGACGCGAGCGTCTGATGCGAGGCCGGCGATAGCGATCGCCATGTGCGAGTCGATCTCGATGATCTTCTTCTGGTACGAGGAGAGCTCTTCTGCATTGCGCTAGAGGGTGCTCATAATTAGTTTTGACGGTTTGGTCGGTTCGTTTTCTGTTGTAGGTTTGCGAACCTTGAGTCCAACCAGCACGGCATGTGTCTTATTCACCAATCCCACAACGACGGATCCTTGCTTCACTGCTTCCTGTGCGTATTCCACTTGAAATATCCGACCCTGTGGAGAGCTAGGATCCTTCAATTTAGCATCTGATGAATCCGAGGGAAGTCGGGGACCTGGTCTTACAAGGTGACGGCATCGTTGTCGTAATTGTTTCTGAACATCGTGACGGAAAGGGTTGAATGAATATCAAGGCAAGTGGAGAATTTGGTTTCTTGTTGATAAGAAGAGATTCAGAAACAGCAACTCAAGAATCCGAGGGATAATCCGGTGATGGAGGGAGAATGGGGGAGCTGGAGCAGGCAGTAAAGTGACGCGGTGTGAAGCATGAGCTGTTTGTGCCTGAGGCCCCAATATCCAGTGACCTTCAGGCGCCAACGTCACTCATTCTCGAGCTCATCACATTGTCGCTCTACTGTCCTTCTTTGATTTTCCGCACTCGGCCAATGGGGCTGTCATTATTGATTTGCTCTTGATATTGTCTCCTGGTTTCGTCCCGTTCAACAGATCCTACCTCTCTCGCATTTAGTCTCACCGATCGGCTTTCGGTGTTTCCGCAATCATGGCCGCTGGACTCAAGACCATCATTGCCCTCTCCTTTGTACGCTTCTTTTCGCTATTTGCCTGGCTTCTAAAGTTGTACTAATATCTGGCCAGGTGCTCGCAATTGGCTTCCTCTTAGTAATCCTCTCTTCCGCGCTATGGCACAGATATTGGCCGCTGCTGGTGGTCGGCATCTACGTTGTTGCGCCGCTTCCCAACTGGATATGCCAACGATGCGCAAATCCAGATGACTTTATGGACAGCTCAAGCAACTCCGCGATGGACTTTGGACGATTCCTGACTGGATTTTTGGTCCTCACTGGCATTGGTACGTCGTTGGCTCAACACCAACCCCTCTTGTGGGATATATCATCCCTCAACCGGTCGGCTCTTAGTGTCTAGGCTACATTATGTCTATACTAATTGCCTTATGACTTATCATTGTGCCATTAATGATCATCCAACTGACCTGTCTAGCACTTCCTGTCGTCCTCGCCCACAGCGGCGCAATCGAGATCCCAGCAATGATCATGTCGATTTTCGGAGGCCTATTGATTTATGGCACCATTATCAGCTTCTCAATGTTCTTCCAGGAACAGGAGGAATTCTGATCTCCCAGACTAGGTGAGGCGCGGGGTGGCTACGGACTACACCTATACTGGGCCGCGCGGCATCTGGCCTTCATGATGACCTTTGCTTTTTTGCTGTCTCTTTTGACTTCAGCGTATGATTGATATGCTATGTATGAGTGATTATGTGCGGGGGTACCTCACCTTAAAAGGCGATGGCTCCAACACCTGGCTATGCTACTCTAGGTGTACTATAACACAATGGATAAGATAATTCCTTGAAAAATGAAGTATCCAAGTCTCCAGTTCTATTTAGGGTTTAAAATTATTCACAATTCTTCCCTTTAGACTGATGTATTCAGTCTGATCTGTGATCCACGTGACCGCGCGCGGATTCGGCGCGTCTGCAGAGATTCGGAGATAACAGCAGATCAATTTGGACAACAAAATTTTACCAGACTGGTATCACTATGCTGAACCCATGAAAGATCTTTTCGGGTTCCAGATAACAAGATGAATGTCTGGACAGGATCCATTCCTCTTAGATCGGATTTCAAGTTAGAAGGTGAACCACACGCGTACCGCATTCTGTTCCTCGCTGACCACTTGACCAGGGATTCGACTGATCGATCCGAATTCTTACTGGCAGTCTGAGCTATCCAAAGAGTCTCAGCTCAGTCTCCGTAGCTTCGTCAACCCAGCACTCATCCCATTGCATGCACGCGCCGGCCCCAACCTCGAGCTTCACACATCACACCCAGGGACATCAAAATGGCTCCGGAGGAAGATGGTAGGCTCCCTCTGGCTAAACGACGAAGACCAAGCTTTCCAGCAATCCTTCCAATGCCCAGTTGGTCTACTAGTCAGCATCGAAGGCATCACTAAATCATGCAACCCAATCCCAACAAGCCTGTTGGTCTACGGCGTACTATCCAGCGCAGCATCATGTACACGCCCACCCACCCCACCACATTCATCCCCCTCCGAGATCCCAAGTCAAAGCAACACACCACAACGAGCTGCGTATGAACTCAGGATCTACGCCACGCCACTATCAACATCCCGACTCACCCAAGCCCAGGCCTACCCATCCCCACCACCCTCCAACCCAGACCAACCCGTTACAAACCCACGCTGCGCGGAATTCCTACCAGACATAAGCTCTCCCAGCCCAAAACGCAAAAGAGTGGCAACACTCTTTGAAGTAGCTGCACAGCACCACCGCCGCGTTCGCCAGCGCGGCGGTGAAGCCGTCTCACAACTAATGGCATCTTCACGACCCCCCTCCTCATCCCAGAACCTACAAACCCTGCGCATCAAGCGCGAGCCCGAAGAAGACGGTCCTGCCCTCGCATCCCTCGACCGGTTCGCCTCGCACCGGTCCCGATCCGTCTCGATCGGGGCAGGTCTACATCGCCCAGGGAGCGTACGCGGGCGCGCAACTCCAGGCATTAACGCCGATCCGCAAAAGCGCGCACCAACGCCGAACCCGTTCTTAGATTCCGGTCCACGCCGTGGAGCACATATGCCGCAGAGCCAGGGCCAAGAGCCGTCATCTCTTTCTTTCTCTGAGGAGAAATCGATGTCCGCGCCTGGATCGCCGGCTAAGGATCCGGATATTGTGGTTGCGGAGAACAAGAATCTCATCACGCGCACGATCTTGACTTGCATGCGTCTGTATGGATTCCACCGAGCGAATATGCGCCCCGCGTTAGTGGGGAAGCCTCCAGGTAGTGCTCTTGCGGAACCCGAAGCTGATGTCTTGGGCACGACGCCAGCGCCGGGGAGCACAGCGGATGATGAGGAGTTCAAAGCTATGTATCATGCGACGTACAAAGCTGCTGCTTTTGCGCTCCGCAGGTATTTGAAGCAAGCTCCAGGATTGGCACCTTCGGTCTTGGAGAGGGAGAAGGCTATGACTTGCATTGATGAGTTATTGAGGCTGTTCTGTGAGGAACATTGAGTGGTCTGAAGGTTAATATGGATGATGGTGATATTCACGATTTTATGAATGTATATATGGGATTTGGTGTTCCAGGGCGATTCTCGGGGCATTTGTTTCTTCACTCATGGCTGCAATGATAATTTTCTCTCGATGATGTTTACTTTGCTGTGTAAATACAGGATACCCAATTTTCTACTGACTGATCCTCCTAACTCGAGTGGGAAACGTAAGAGGAATGCAAATAAATTCATGCTAAAGCGCCAATCCCAAAAAAAAAACAGATGCACATAATGCATCCCAGCCAAAAGTCATCAGAGCAAGAACATCATTTTGAATACAGAACCACAAGCTGTAGATTGAAACAGCCCACCTCACAGTGCAAGATTGTAGGTGTAGTCATCTTCAATGTTCTGGGAGACCCAGAGGACGATCGAGCTAGATCGAGAATAACATAGTTAGCACGCAAGCACAACTTTGGATCAAATCACATCGAGTCGGCCAAAACACATACCTGAGCATAACAAGACCATTGGCCACAATATTTGCAATTCCAAAGTAGAGCGTCTGGAGAGGGTAATCCTTGATGAGGTACTTGAGAACCATAACCGTCTACGGAGAAGCGAGTTAGCAAAGCCCTCGTACCCTTCACATAGAGCAGAAGTAGTAGAATATCCAAAAAATTAGGATATGCACATACCACACTCCCAGCTAAACCACCAGCAAGCAGCGCAAATCCCAAAAACAGCACAAACCTCGCCTTCCACGCAACCCCACTCCCACTGTAGCTAAAGCTATCAGCCTGCAGTCGGCTCTTCTCAATCGAGTTGATAACCAGCATCCCGAGCGCGGAGCAGATACCGGGGATCCAGTCGACAAATTTGATGTGCACGTCTGAGCCGTTGCGCGGGCTGCGCGAGAATGAGGCGACGTCAATTAGGAAGAAGAAGCCTGCTGCGAACTATTGTAAAATTGGGTTTGTTAGCTTTTAATTCTTAGCAGATCTGAGGTTCATTTATATTTCATTTTGCTGAAGGCTTCGAACTTGGGACATGTCGCGACGAGCGAGCCTGGTCTCGGGTGGAGGCGGAGGAGAGTGGATCGGATGCTTACCAGGGCGCCTGCGACGTAGACGCCGCCATTGCGGACGGTGGAATTATTCAGCCACTCTGGCTTCGAGAAGCGGAAGAGTCGATTGCTTGAGCTGTCCATACTCGGATGTGGGGGATCGGGGCTTGGTTGAGGGGATGTTGCTGATGAGAGAGCTGGAGTCTAATGACGATGGCTGGATGGAAAAATATTGTTCCGGAATATCTATGGATATCATCAAACATGCAACATGAGCTCTCGCCTGCAGTAAGTTGATTTCTATTTTCAAAATGATCTCTCTTAAATGAACTACAGAATATTGCCCATTGGGTTCTCTAGACGTATTGTTGCAACAGCAGGACTATCCAAGTTGGGCAGCATGGGCACCAAATATTTTTTTTTTAGATTCAGGCATATGGATTTGACATTGATAGTAGAAACTCGTGATTGCATTTAACGTAGGACAAACGTCCTTGGGTATGTACAGTTCAAACATGTGTTTAGGCTACAAAAAGAACAGGCTGTTCAATCATGTTGATGCAACCCCAAGGCAACCATGTAACCAGGAACCAATGCAGAACCATTTCGGGTATCCGCGCATCAAATGGTTGCCGGCATTTCCCAGTATAGAAGCCTAGCGTCGTCATCACAGCGCTCAATTTAGTTGCAGTGACAGCCTTGCCTGTCGCACTGCGAGCACCAGCCCTTGGCACGACACCAAGGCTAGTCCGAAGGGACGGACTCGCATTCAGTGAGTATCTTGCTGCCTCTGTGTCTTTGTGTATTCTAACTCTTACAGTCTGTTCACCGCTCGCTTCCTTCATGCAGAAGTGTTGATCTGGTGGGACCGCAGCTTATCCATAATAGTATCAATGCCGTCCATGTCGCCGGCGTCAGTCTTGTCGGTGGGATAACCTTCGGGGAGGCTCTTGTTCAGCGCATCCAAGGCAGGCTGATGATTACGGACTGCAGAGGAGATTGCGTAAATGGCCTTCTTGCGGGTTGCGGGGTTGGATTCTGTAGTGGCGAGGTTGACGAGGGTAGGGATTTCATTCAGGGCGACGAGCTGGCGGATATGTCAGTAATTGTGATTTTCATTCTTTACAGGTCAGTCGTAGTCTTTCATACCTGATCCTGTGCCTTAGGGTTATTCTGCACGGCTGTTCCCACACACCAGGCCGCCATACGTCTGATATCGGCCTCGTCGTGCTTGAGCAGCTCGACAAGCGGCTTCCATAGATTGAGCGGGACGAGGTTGTTTGCATTATCAATTCCCTCTATCAATTGCTCGAAGTTGTCGAATGCGATCAACTTGTTCTCCAGATCAGACTCGTTATCGTGGACCACCTCCATCGCGGCCCGCATTAGGTCGGCATCGGAGGGGCCGCCAAAGAGTGTTTTGACCATTTGTGGTGTCAGATTGGACGCAGCGGCCGGGAGATTTGAGGCACTGCCCTCGCTGTCGGCGCCTACAGATGCCTGGGAATTGGTGACGCTCCATTTGAGGAGCTTGTTCATTTCGGGGTCCATGGTGGGCTCGCGGGGTAGTTGGATGGCCGATGTGTAGGGTGTATTAGTTTTGGGGATGAGGCCAAAGAAGCGAAAAGTTAGGACAGAGTCTATATCGCAGGTCAAAATGATTTGATGTGTATCACACAGTATATTTGCAGTCGCGACCTAGAATACTTTTCTACAGTTGGAAAAAAAGCCCCGCTGACATAATCTGACGCAGCTCTCGACGTCTGCTCTGGGCGATTCGCGCGGCGACCAGCGGGTTCGATCATGTGACCGTGTCGTAAAACCTCGGGAGAGGAACTGGTCTGCATCATGGACTACAATGCAGACGTGTATTCCTTCCCCAGAAGATGGAAAATTTCATCTGAAGAACCTCGAACACACAACGTTTAGAAATCCACACTTCCCAAGTCATTGTACCACAAACACCAAACAACCATGTTAGTTTCAAGTCTTTGACCATGTGACACCAAGTTCGGATAACATCACTGAAGTAGAGATCGAAGCCTTCTAGTCCCTTCATGGTATAAGCCGAAATAGGAAGGTCTGAAAGAGTGTTATTCCCAAGTACTGTCTCAGCAGGTTGAGCATGGGTGTGATTTCAAATGCCTCACTAGCACATCATTCTGTTGAGCGGACATCTTGGTGGGCCTAGCCATCTCGGACTCGGAAATCTAGTTAGCCGACTGGAACACCGTTTGTAAGGATTTGTCCTTGTTGTTTTCATCTTCAAGGATGTGAAATCAAAGCCAAGTTGGCTGCTGTTACTTAGATCAAGATTCGGGCTTTCAGATACGATAGTTCTTGGATAGGGGCTCTTAGATATATGGCTTGGTGGCTTTTCCGGTAGTTTAATCAAAGTCTTGGAATGTACTAGAATCCGGTTATCAAAGCCGAGCCCGCCAATAAATATTTCAAGGGGTCAAAATGGCAAGATTTTCTGCCACAGGATCAAAATGGGTCTTTGAATGAGATCCATTCCAGAATCAGGAGATCATATAGAATAAGGAGAACAAAGTCAGGGGTAGTGATGTAGAAAAAGAGGATGTGCACGTCGTACTTCCATGTCACGTGGTACTACCTCACCGCCTCCCTATCACAAGAGGCTAGGCTGTTCACCTCCCTAGGAAATGGCGGTAACATGGGCAGACTAATTATTGTGACAGTCTGTTGGTCTGAGAGCGCCAGGCCAATTATCCCCCATCATCCCCATCATCCCCTGTACGCCTTCAAATGAGTGTGCGTGTCCACATCTAACAACTCCTGGAACGGGCGTCTACCCCAAGGGCTGAAGTCTGGGTCTGTGTCCTATACTTAGAACACCTACGCCACGGGGAATCCAGGAGCCTACTAGGGAGCATTTAGACTACAGTTGTATGTTATATGCTTGACGCGCCAATTGTTATCATTGCAATACAACATACAAGTAAACCGCCTGGAGTGCCTAACCCGGTCAAGGTACGTGTTTCCCTGTACCCAGAAGGGGTCTGGAGGCTCACCCCCAAGAATGTCCACGCAATGCTTTAGGTAGACAAGATTGGAGGAACTAAAGGTAGTGAAGAATTCAAATTGAAATTATTTCTGCCTCATTAATTCTAATATAAAAAAGGAGAAAGAACCTAAACCTGTAGATGAGAGGGGGTCTAAAGAGACGAGGCCTCAGGCAGCGCACAATCCCAGCCATCACCCCTCTCCACTCTTCTCACTCTCTCACTCTCTTCCTTCTTCCCTTCTCTCCTAATCCCAACTATATCACCTCTAACCTCATTCCATCTTTCTTTTCTTTTCCCCCTCTTCCCCCTCAAGTTCCTAGTTTAATCTGTCACAATGGAGGGTATGTTATTCTCATGTCATTCTTCAAGTGGCCACATCATCAGCTTCCCCGGAAGCTGCCCCCCCCCCTGTTGCCACAGCTTCAAATCCGATTTGAGAACAACAACTAACCCGTATTTCTCATTATAGAAGAAGTTGCTGCTCTCGTCATCGACAATGGGTATGTGCTATGCTTTTTCCTGGGAGCTTCTGGCTTGTGTTTGGGACTGGTCGTTAAATCAGCCCGGTCGCGGTCGTTGCCACCCCTAATCCGCCCACGGCGGCAAATGGAACCCATCCCAATGGCTTTCCATACCCCTTCAAAACTGCCAAGTGGCGCTCCAAGGACTACGAGAACTTTGATACTGATGATTTGCGATGTAGTTCGGGTATGTGTAAGGCCGGTTTCGCCGGTGACGACGCACCACGAGCTGTCTTCCGTAAGTTCAACCCCACAGAATATGACACCCCTCCTTGCGAAGGCCGCCATCCCACCAACCCTTGCGTCGGATGGCTTCCCCTTTTTTTGCTCGGTTGGGAAGAACCTTGAATCCGAGAATCAAATAACTGACAAAATTCAACAGCCTCTATTGTCGGTCGTCCCC